TTTTTTATTTTAAGTAAACATCAATACGGATTCGTTAAAGGAAGGTCGACTATTTTACAGTTGATGAAGGCTATTGATGAGTGGACAGAAGTTATCGACCAAGGAAGATCAATCCAAACAGCATGCTTAGACTTCATAAAAGCGTTTGACACAGTCCCACATCTACGGCTCATCAGCAAATCAAAATCATATGGATTATCACCAGAAATCATCAAACGGGTGCAAAGTTTCATAACTAACCGGAAACGGCGAGTATTGGTGAACAGAGAACTGTCAAAATGGATGGCGGTAACAAGTGGTACCCACAGAGAAGCGTTTGAGGGCCGCCTCTCTATGTAATGTATATCAACAACGTACTTGTTCGTTGATGATACTAAACTTTACAATTATAACGATAATATAAATCTACAGGATGATCTAGATCAACTCCAAAAATGGTCAGATCAATGATAAAATTCCATTCGGACAAATGCAAATGAAAACCAATACAACCATGTATATACAGACACCTAAAACGGAAGTCTCGAGTGTCACTCAAGAGAACAAAATAAAAGGAATTTGGAATTATAACTGACATCAACCTCAATTTCAACGAACATATTTATGATGCGGTCCACAAAGCAAATAGAATGATGGGAGCCTTCCGATTTAGCCAATAACTGACCCCAAAGGAAGGAATGAAAGAAGGCCGTATAGGTCACTTTACAGATTGATGTTACAAAAATATTTTACAACAAAGGTGTTCATAGAAATTACATGTACGTTACCAAAACCGCACAATTTCCTCAAAAAATCAGTGAAATAAGCCGGTACTTTTGAAATTCATGAGATCAATGGTTGTTACGCCAAATTGCTTTGAAATCGGCCCGGTTTAGGGGAGTCACTCATATAAATTTATATATTTATCAAGTTGTTGCTCTAAAAGCGGGTTGATGATAGTTCATTTTATTACATTTTTACCATTGAATCATTGACATTTATTTATTTTTCAGAAGTGATATTTTCCATTTAGTGAAGAATACCAAAAAGATGAAATATCACTTTTGCTGATTTGACCAATCAAAACACTGAATACAAACTACTGACCAAACAAGAAGCCCGACATATATACAAGTGACCCGATTGTTCGAAGGCCTGTAAGTTTAACGATACGCAGGCCTCAAGAAAATCCTCTTAAGATATCAGCCGAGTCAGATGCTCAGAATAATCAACTGTTACCAATCACAGGGGAACTATTCTCTGGGGGAAACAAAGCGTTTAATTCTACAGGAAGCCAGCAAACGATGTGGGTGGTAGGGTGGTGGAGTGGATAGCGCACTTGCCTTTCACCAAGGCGGCCGGGGTTCGATTCCCCGATCGGACGTGAAAAGGTATGGGACCACCGGGTACTCCGGTTTCCCCCCACACAAAGACCCCTCCCGCGCTAAAATCCGGGCCATCAAGAGTGATTTATATAAGTTAACATATATAACTGGTTTCATAATTGTTGTAAGAGAAATAAAGTTTATATATTAACGATGTAGGCTAGCAATGCTAGCCATTCTAACTATTAATTTTTAGGACATGAAGATTAAAGTTTTAGTTAAATGATGTTTAAACGACAGTATTCAGGCTGACCCAGAGAAATTTCAGTCTATCAGTATAGAGAGAAAACCCTAGGAGCAAATAAGTTCACAAACTATTGGAGAACAAGAAATTGCAGAAGAGAACATTGTGAAGCTGTTTAGGGCAGACATTTATTGTGACTTAAAGTTTCTCATTCACATATGAAATCTAAGAAGAAAGGCCTCTAAAAAATGGTATGTGCTTAAAAGAATTTGAGATAAACTTACAAAAGTGGGCAAAGTCACTATTTTCAAATTTTTTATTGCATCAAACTTTAACTTCTGTCTTCTATCCTGGCATTTTCATTATTATCAAATCAAATCAATAAGATGAAGAAATTTACTGCCTCCGTTAGAGATCTTTTAATAAGAAATAACTTTCAATTCTTACATGTTTCACAAAATTTTGCACTACATGTAGTACTACACCTGCTTTCGTTTTATTGTTTCTTATAGTTAGAAACCACGTTTTATATAATTCCAGGAAGATATTGACAGTAAAGATACCTAAGGTAAATACCACCACTTTTGGTAGGAAGTCTTTTGGCTTTGAGGATGCTCACGTGTGGAACAGGAACGTCAAACATAAAAAACTACAATGGATTGTGAAGACTGTTGCGCACCTGGGACGGTGGATCCTGCAAATTCGTTTTATGTTCCTGTACCATTTTAGTTCATTTTTGTTGTTGTTCTTTGCAACTAATAGGGACCGCGGAACCAAATGATTTTCCTTAGACGATAGTGTTAACGTTTACCACTGTCCTGGTTAAATGGGGTTATCCACACTGGTTTACCTGACCTCATTTTGAAGAATAGCATCTCACACAACTGTAAAAAAAATATTTCAAAATTCTGCCAATTTGAACTTTTTTTTTATATGGGGGCTGCCATCTTGTATTGAATTCGGCACCAAAAATCGAACAAAATTTACAACAAATTACACACTTAATAAATTCACCCAGACAAAACCAGACTTGAATTTTTTTTTCTTTTTTTTATACATATTACATCTATATATATTGCTCAACCCACACATAAAACTTTTGAAACTTCTGCCACCTTAATATCCAACCAGCAGGCCCCGAGGCATTCACCTTGCTTTTAAATGAAAAACCCACAATCTATTTTTGAATTGGTTCCGTGGTCCCTATATTGTTGTCTCCTCTAACTGGTCCTCTGAAGAAAGTGTTTAAATATAGTTTTAGCATGCTGGACATGTTTTATCAACCCTGTGTCATTTTCCTCGACTTAAAAGTGATTAGTTAATTGTCATGGATGTTGTTCTACCAGTGTCAAAGGGCAGGCAGGGGCAACCACCTGTGATGTGACAAACCATTTTAAATTGCTATAGTTTTACTACGTATTTTTATTTCGTACTTTCACTTGACGTCCATTTAAAAGAATACTTGGTGTGATACTAGTTTTATTAAATAATTTTAAGTGCGTGATTTGTCAACTTTGGTGTTAAAGGTTAGGTAGATAGGTAGTTGCCTAACCTCCTGTCCTCTGACACACTCTTCGCATATATCATTTAATATTTTAGTGCTAAAGCCTGTTTACATATAGGATCTTACATGACTTTCCATTTAATATTAGATTAAGGAAACGAGTCTTAGAAATTTTCAATTTAGCGAGCCACTGGCGAGCTCAAATGAAAAATTCGTGACGAGTTTCATCAATTTCATAGGAAATGAAAACGAGTGTAAGATTTTTTTCTTTCTTATAATCAAGATATGTGGAATTTATTCGTGTAAAACGACAAATTTCATGCAGCCTTGAATGTAAAAAGCTGCCATTTTGACTCAAGTGCATAAGTTTGTGACGTCATGTACGTGTCCTAGGCGTAACGTCACAATTGAAACAAATGAAATTTACAACCAATCACAGGGCTGATATGTCATATTACATGGGTTAATACGCAAAAAAAATCACATGGGTTTATTTATTGGATAATACAGGACATTATTTGATAAAAAAAGTTATACTTACGCCAACTGATCATATGCAGCCAAAGTGTATAGTAGTTAGATTAACCCCTATTTAATTTCTGTAGGCCTTTATTTGTATGCATGCCATGTACTTTTATTTGTTTTATTATTATACCCATATTTGTTACAGAAATAGCTCTATCGAACTAATGTTTGCACGTTTCTGGTATGCGACGTTAAATGAATGTTCTTGTATTTTATATCTTATATTTGATCGATGGAAACTTAAGGCAAATAAAAAAGGTGTCAGCGTTCCAAAGTCCTTATTAAACTAAGTGACTGGCAAAAAGCGGAAAAAAAAGAATCATTGTAATCTCTCTGACAGTGATAGTGATACGAGTTGATATTATCAGGATACGTGGTTAACATTGTTGTTCCCACCCTTTTTGATTCTGCGTGTCAAAGTTTCAGCAACATGTTGTGATTCGAGTGGATATGACAGGGCTTTTATTAAACAAAAATAATTTATAGTAATTTGGCAACTCCTTTAACAAAACGAATTAAAATACCTACTTTATTACCTACATTAAGTTATAAACAAATGCAGATATAACTAGATATTATCGCGCAGGATTATCTAGACAAGTTAGTCAGGATCCAGATAAAGTATTATCAGCTTGATGTGTCGCGTTGCGTTCTGAGGTAGGTTTTGTCAAAAAAGAGGCAATAAACAGAATATATAACAGAATCTTCAGTTATACCGAAATCGTGAAAGATATGATATTAATATTAAGACAACATTAGTGAAATATACTTGGTCATACCGAAAAATAGTTATATTATCCTCTGTATGTTTTGAAATTGAAATATTGGCATTGTTGTTTAAATAGTGCACATCGGCATCTTAGACAACTTTATATACCAAATTATTATTATGTCAACCCAACTTATATCAAAATGAAAGGAATGTTATCAATTTGTAACACGGTACTCTTAACAAAAGGAAGTAAATTTATACAAAGAGTAATGAAGCTACTTAATATCTAAAATAATTTAGCTAAAAGAATTATTGAAATGGGTTGTTATTGTATGAATTGTATCATGTGTCATATTATGTGAGGACTATGTCCATCAATGTATACTATGTATTATGTGCCCTCTTGTTACGCACGTATACGTGTTGCGTGAGTGTAAAAATAAAACTTGGAAAACTTGGCAATTAAGGCTTCGATGATGACATGTTGAAACATATTCTAGTTTTTCCATTAATGCAATAACGATGGTTAATGAATTGGTGATATAAGTTGTTTGTCACTACGCGGTCCTGCCCGAAACCTAATTGCCAATCACCGTAGGCATTTGAATAAGGGGAGTGTCCGGTCAATCTTAAGCGTATATATATGAACTCGAGTACCTCAATGTCATTCCACATCTCACGTCCTGGACGATAAACTCTGATACTGAAAGTTTGATCCCACCCTTGCTGAATCAGAATGTTTACGTCAAAAGCCTTTGTGATTGCCTGTTGTTTATACACTCTCGGTAAGTTATTGATGTTTTTGTTTGTTTCGTTATTATCACTCAACTAACGTTTGTACAAAACCTAACTCTTCTTCTTTCAGTGATTAATATAGCATTTCCTACTCAAGTAAGACTCAATGTAACTGCCGAATGTAACCTGTTTCATTTGCCGATGAATTTGACCAGACTAACATTGCGCCTATGAATACATATTTTCGAGATTTTGTGAAGGGAGATAACTTTTGATTTGTTTTTAAGAAACCACTTGTACGATATTTTACATTTTCATTGCAGCTACATCACAATTTGTTAAAGCAACCAAAAACGATCAATCAACAAAATAGTATAAGTTCACGGTTGCTAGCGGATCTGACAAGTCATGTACTGTCCTAGAAATTCTCCCTCCAGCTAACCATTCTGCCTCTTGTGTCAACCCCCGTTAAAAATCGCAAACTACGTGGATCACATTATGCAGTCAAACAGCCAAATGCCATATCAGAAAGTGTTGTCGATACTTATTGTTTTTCTTCATGCATATAACACTATTTATTAAATAAAACGGATCAAACGTGTAATAGATGATTAAAAAAACAGTCTCCATCGGCAAATCTATCAGTTGCAACAACTACTGCTAACTAGCAATGCTTACTGGTACCTGCATAGGAACATTGAAAAATCACATCGAAAAGATTGGAAACGAGTCAAAGTAGGAGGAATTCAACTATGTTTTATATTTTTCACTCAAAGCAGAAAAGTAGTTTATTTCCTGACCAAACTAACACACACATATATATATATAGCCGCGTATTCTAAATACAATTGTATCCCTATTCGTTAAAAATATAATAGGAAAATTCTTCAATCAGCGGTATCCAAATAGCTAAAAACAATCACGACAATGAAACTGCAGCGAACAATGCACTCGCTATTAAGAATTGCGAATATTACTTTTAGGATGCTAAAGTAACAACTACTTACTATTTTTTACTTTTTTTTGGTGGAAAAAACCCATTATATATTTCAATCAACGTGTGTTTTTTCAATAATTAGAACTAGTAAAGTTCATTCCGATAGTTTGTCCCAGGTTCAGGAGCTTGTGCAAGTCTACGTATTGACGTAGTTTAAAAAATATAGCCCGTCATTGAAGGAGTACCATACAACATGCTGGTGTACGTTGATAGTTCAAATTATGCCAAATTATGCAGAAACATAACAAAAAATATATATTTTAAATGTCATATTTATTTTCTGTTGATAAATTCAAATTTTCTGACGCGTCATCGCGGAAGAATAATGTATAGAAGCGGTGCATAGGCTCTGGAATGTGAAGCTGCAGTAATTGCATGAATGTCGAATAAGATAGGAAACCAGCTTGAAAGGACGAAACACTTTGATATGGTAGTTAGCTGTGCGACTCCATTTCAGAAAGATAAATAAATAAACAAAAATAATATAGTAACCTAATATCAATATCATTACTTAAACTGCAGAATACTTAACGAATTGACATAAAAAAGACAAGAGGTATACATATTTTGAAATACAATGTGTACTTAATTTGTAGATTGTCTGCACATTGCATAATTGTATGTATCCCTGTCCCACTGCAAAACATAAGAAAATACCACTGTATGTTTTTCTTATATACATTTATCTCTTCGAAAAGTCATTCCGGATAAAACTATAGTTCGACAGTTCTTTCAACCCATCATTATTAATAATTTTATCAAAGAACCCCAATGCTTAATAAGGACATTTGGACATTCGATAAACATGGACCTATATAAATAATTGTGAAAAGTTTGTTATAATGCAAATTTTCATTTCGTGTTTGATATTTTCACAGGCTCGTTGATGACTGTTTCTGGAACCCCCGCACCAGGAAGTGAGTACCTCTGTCTTAGTAATATGTCTTGGTTTTGTACCATTGGTTCTTGTTGGTATTTTAGTCTTTGTGTTTTGACGCTGATACATTCCATTGGTTAATCATTCTACTCAGTTTTGTATGTTGCTTTTGCTGATCGGAGTTTACTTTTTACTAATCACTACGTAGCAACTTTCTATTGGCACGACACTTATCTTCGGTTAATGTACGGCATTCAATCAATGATTTCATTGAAACGTAAAGAATTCAGTGTCCTTTGTGAACAAATGCTACCGTGTATATAAACGTAATGTCCAGGAATCTAATGTTAATAATCGACTGATTTGATCAGAATCAGTTCAAAAATGTGCATTTTTACACTTGAATGTTACGTAACTAGAAACTAGGAGTTTATTCAAAGGCAAAGACCAAAGAAAATGCGTCAATGTGGGTTTACAAAAGCTAGCATATACATGTTATCTCTTGTCGCTTATTTTCCATGCATTGCATGTTGTTTTTTTCTCATTTCTTTTATAGTAACATCATTTTCTATTCAATTAATGATTTTCCATTCGAAGGTTTTTGCAGTATGAAAGCAAATGGTGATTATCGTCACCCAATGGATTGCTACGAGCACATCAAATGCAGCAATGGAATAGCACATGTGTTCGACTGTCCGGCCTCCACCTTATGGGATGACTCTAAAAAACGATGTGAAAACACTAGCGACTTACCATCTTGCAGTAAGTACATTGTGTTGTAACGGATAGAACAAAACAACAACATTCGACCCCCCCCCCCCCCCCCCTCCACCACACTCCAAATTGATTAAATAGTTAATTAATAGAATAGACAAATATAATGACTAAATACATTTCGCGACATTTTCTATTCTTTAAGGTTTGTTTTGTTTCACAAACATACGGGTGCAACTGTCCGAATGTTTTTTTCTGGTAAACAAAAATGATTATTTTAGTGCATATGTACATCATACTCCTAGGTATTTACGTAACTACCAACTAAATGATAACATATGTGTAAGCATCTATCGCCTAATAGTGGCGGGAAACGACAAACTTATGTTGTGGGGCCGATTCAAAATGGGGACAATCCGTCTTATCAAATGTAACATCATATGATGCCAAACATTACTATACTTATTTCCGCCCTTTTGAAGCAGTAATTAGGTATGCTGCAATGTAAAATATAGAATTTACCTTTGAATACAAAATATACACTACGCGTTTGTCAGGATATACTGCTATTGTAATTGGTACTCTGTTTTAGTCATAAAACATTAATAGGTGACCACTAAACGTGCACTCTCTATCTCTCTCTCTCTGTGTCTCGCTTGAAAAATTAGGTAGGTACAGAAAGAAGAGTAAAAACATATTCCACAATTATGAATGAATCATTCCATACAAAATTATATGATTAAATGCATGAATAGCGCATTTGTATTTGAAAAAACAAGTCTGGTTTTGATATATACGTCAACAATAATACTTATTGCAAATGTGTTTTCATATTAATTCATATTTTACAGTTCCAGTTTGTCCTTGCTATGTTCTCAGAAGTATTTGATACGTTGTTAAATGTAGATAGAATATCATATAAAGCAGTTTCAGGTTGTCACCGCTATAACATAAGAAGCACTATATACATTGTTTAATGTAATGCTATTGCGATTAAAAAAATAAAACATATTAAAATATATTTTGTTTTCGAATGTTAATACAGTGATGTTTTCCTTAAAATGAAAAGGGGAAAGAAATCGTACATTCTTACAGATATTCGGATACATACAAAGAGTGTATCATTAAACTAGTCGTTATTGTTGCAATTGCTGATATTGTATTTCTATTTGAATGCTGTATTACAGACAGTCCTTTCACCTGCGTGGGACGCGCAGATGGTTCATACGCCAATCCGACAGAATGTACGTCTTATTACGTTTGTGACGAACAAATCACACACCTCATGCAGTGTCCAGCAACAACCCATTATGACCCCACTATGAAGGTATGCGACCATGCTGTAAACGTGCCATGTCCATGAAGGGCGATTGGTTCCAACAACAAGGACTTTATTTGGATCTTGACAAGTTTCTTCTAAGTGTTGTTATCAACATGTGTTCCTCGTAATGCAAATGCGCTTAAAAACACATAAATAAAAAAATATCGAAACAAATTCTGTCTCAATTATATTTAATATCTATTCTGTATTGTATGTTGATACTCGGTTATAATATTTGTAAGTGTATTTTTAAATAAATACAAATATAAACCTTTTTCTTTGGTCCCTAGTGTCAACGTGTTTTATCTTATCATATGGGTTTGAGAATGATGTAAAGTTTGTTGGGATTTTATGCATTATTGATTATATACAGCTTCATCACAACCTAGTTCGTAGATCTTCTCAAAGCGGTTCACAGAATATTATCAATGGTTATAGCCGGTGCTGCCATTGCGGCGCTCACATCTAGCATTCTACAATTATAGCACTGCCCAACCCCGTAGTCATTTACAGCCGAGTAGACTGGAACAAGCGGAGTAAATTATCTTGCTCAAAGATACAACACAGTGCTGTGTCGTGACTCGAACCCGCAACACGTCGGTCACGGGCACGGCGTCCTACCACTAGACTACTGTGCCTCGTAAACATGTTGAGACATATCCTAGTGTTTCTGTTACTGCCCTTAAGGTCGCTAATTGGTTGTCAATATCAGTTAAGTGTAATTACACAACATCGAAACCAAAGAGCCAACCGCCGACAAACGACAGGAGACTCATTTGGGAATTAGAAAAGGGCGTGTCAGGTAAACCTTAGACGTATATATGTAGTTCAAATAGAGTACCTGTCAATCAATCAGGACCGTACGTGTTACCAGTTTGTGTTGTGTATTGATGGCACGCTACAGTAAATCGCTTTCATACGTATGCAATTCATACACAACACTAGCACAGGTTGCTCATAGATTGGGTAGAAAAAGAAGCGAGGAGAGACAGTAACTACAGTAAATATAACAGATAATGGTAGAATAATTCAGAGAACATTAGATTCCATACAAGAATGGGCTGATAAATGGGGCTTCAACATCTCTAAAAAAAAAACGGTAGCCATGTCATTTTCTAGAAGAAATAAACAGCCAGATCTCTATCTCGGTAATAAAAAAATACAATATGTAAAACAAACGAGATGCCTAGGAATGATATTCGACCAAAAACTGGTATGGGTCCCACATGTTAATAATATAAAAGGAAGCTGTAAAAGGGCACTAAACGCACTAGTATTCGTATCGGGAATAAATTAGGATCAAACAAAAATAAACTTCTCACACTCTATAAAGCTTTAATTAGGTCAAAAATAGATTACGGATGCAAAATATATAATTCAGCCTCCGATAACGCATTGAAAACACATAATCCATCATAAAGCCTAAAGAATAGCACTGGGAGCAATTAAAAATACTCCATCAATTAGTCTAGTAGCAGAAAGCGGTGAATCACCACTAAAGTTAAGAAGAGATAACTTAATTCTCAAATATTGGGCTAGAACCCAAACATTAGGATAAGACTTTCCCGTTCAATCGAATAGTAGAAGACGCCAAGGACACCAAATATAGAAATAAATTAGATGGTCATAAAAAATACCATTTAGTCACGTGACTAATGCTTTAATAAAAGAACAAAAAATTAAAACAACATTCAAATAGAAGAAATTTCCCCTAATCCACACCACCATGGTTACAGTACTAGGACAACCAGATATTAGCAAAGATATTTTGAACGCGACAAATAAATAAGAAAACCCAATGGCAGCTAACAAAGGTCATAGCTTTATCTATAACGATGATAAATACAAAAACCTACCTAAATAGTATACAGACGGGTCTCAAAACCCTGACAACAAAAGAGTAGGACTAGGGATCTACTCATGAAAAAACAATATAGCAATATCCGTAAGACTAACAGATAACTGTTCTGTTCTGTATATACAAGCGAGTTAATAGCCATTGGTCTAGCACTTATAATTATTGACCAAGAAAAACCTGGGCGGTAATTCTCACAGACACTCTATCCTCACTACAATCAATGGAAACAAAAAACAATACAAGAACGTCCGTACTTAACAGTGGCGGACCCACGGGTGTTGCCCTAGTTTCCCGGGCAACACCCTTTTTCCTGTGTCCGAACATAATCTTGACCAAGGTTTTTGAAGATTTTCCTTTATTTCATATGGGATTTCCTTCTAATATCAACCATCCTTTGAACTATGATTTTCTATGACTTCACTTTGCTAGCAGTTTGAATATCTATATATGCCTAAGGGTGTTGCCCAAACAAGGAGTCCACTACTTATACTCTAAACAATAGGGGGTTAATCCTCTATTGTCTATACAATATATTAGTAAGGTCAAGTCAGTGGCCAAGGCTCACCGGACTGACTCTACCTAATCTTAATGTTCTAATATCACGGTGTGGTGATCACCCTGTCAGTTGGGAGAGGACTATACCATCTGTTGGAATTAGGTATATAGGTCAAGTGTTATTTCAATAACTATTAAAAAAACAAAATAATTAAACTTCAAAGTATAGTTGAGAATTAAAACACAAATATATTTATAAAGGGTTTTACTCTTTAGATAGACGAGGGAGTGCTGCAACGTCTTTGTTCCGACCTCAGGCGGGGAGTTCCGTTCCAAGAACTATCTCCTATCCCACAGCGATCCCAAGTCTTTTCCAAGGAAATAAATGATTTCTCCCTTTCCTTTTCCTAAAATATAATTCTGCTTCCATGAACTGTTTAAGATACACATACAAATAAGTCCTCTTAAATCTAAGTTGATACAACGAGATTTAATTATTTGTCACAAAACATTGGGTAGTTCCAATATTTGAATAAAAATATCAATAACTATTAAAAACAAATACTTAAGCTTCAAAGTATAGTTAAGAATTAAAACACAAATATATTTATAAAGGGTTTAGTTAGGTAGGAATAACGGGATAAGCGAATCTTGAACTTATAATCAATATCTGTTTATCTAACACAGTTAATAGGGGAAATATTAATAATATACCATAAATCAAAATACTCAAACGAATTTTATTAAACAAATAACACAGCGATATTATAACTAATAAAACATAATATATACACAATGTATGTAGACATGAGCACATACACATCAAAGTAAAAACGCCAACCCCCAAGTATCCTCCCACATCCAATCAATCCCCCCTCCCCCAAATGATCTCCAACACCACTCCGGTCCATACAACTAGCACTCGATAAAGCCCATAAATCCATCGGCACATTTCTTAGATACCCACCACTTCTTTCAATCTCCAACCCCTCCAGCTCCCATCAATGTTATAACCAAACTATAACATATTGGCGGCTTTCTACCTTACTACCGGTCCAAACTTGGTGCTGATATACGACAAGTGTTAGGATAAGGCAACGTTAAGCTGGATAATCGAACTACTCGGTAGTGAAGCGGACGTAAAATCAATCAATCAATCAATCAATCAATCGACAGACGTCTCTCTGAGATATCGAAGATCATTGGACAACTGTTCTATGTACTCCAGTGAGCTAATAGCTATAGGGTTAGCGTTAAGTGTCATTCTCCAAACTAAACCAACTGTCGGCCATTCAATCTATAGAAACCAGAAATAGTAGCAGGCCCGTCAAGTGGCATTCTCCAAAGACGTCAGGGATCAAGACTAGGTTATAGGGGATAAATAGAAGTGACTATGGTCTTCGCCTAGATCCACGAACAGTAGCTCGTCTTTAGATATAATATAGAGTGTTTGGCAGAAGCTGATTAGTTAGCGACACATTCGACAATTAGGTCAGTGACACAGCTAGTGTTGACGATCTGTGGTCAGCGACTAGGTTATAAGCAACCAATACTGGAGTTATAGGTAGTCGGGCTCGTAAGGTGTTAACTTCGTACGGAGGCTTGAGTGTGGCATTGGTCACAGTAGTCTATGTGTGCATGTTTCATAGTCAGTGGTCAGATAGACCGGCGACAACCATAGCGCGTAGCTGACTATGTGTGCATATTTTATAGTCAGTGGTCAGTAAGACCGGCGACCAGGTGTCACCGGCATTATATTTCATAAGAATTAGTTTTGTTGGACTGAATAACCCAAATGAAATGAGAAAACTACTATAACATTGATAGACAGAGTTGATAGCTATACTTAAGGTTCCATTTTTTTTTATGAATTTATGTCAGGAACACAGGGGCAATCAGCAAAAGTGAAGCATTATATCCATCTTTCAAGGAATAACCTTTTTATTGATGAACCAGCAGTGTTTTCATATCTATAGAGGCATAAGAAATGAAATTACGGAAATTACTCAAAACCTCACTTTTATTGATCGATCGGTAAACTCTCGAGCAGCGGCAGCGGTCATGTGACGGCCATGTGATCGATTCTTATGCAAGAGTTTGTCCGATAACTTCTGGAAGATTTAGCCAGTATCGGTGAAAAAGTGAGTTTATTTCGGTGTCTTTTTCAATAACTAATCTATTTGAAGAATATAAATAAAGTAATATCGAATATTTTGTTCGATCCTTGTTTTCACTTATGTTCATGGTACTACAAAATGCCAGACACTCTCAGTCTTAGACACTGCGCAACGGCGTCAGCTTCAGCGTCAAAATTTCCAGTGAAGTTTACATTGTCAGATCGGACTGAACACATTAATAACATGTCCGACAGGCGGACTACTACAAAATTATGGAGGGATACTTTTTAATTATAACATGTACATTCTTGTAAGTTAACTTAGATCTCTTGTTGTGCGTGTTCATTTGTTAGACTGATCGGATTAACAAAATGGCCGAGAGGCGGACATCTTGGATTTTGACAGTTAAGGTTTGTTATTGCTACGAATCAGTACGGGATTAGTACACTGTAGGTGTGCACGTGTCTTATTCAGTACAATGTAGGTGTGCACGTGTCCCATGGTCTTTGATTGTGCTTGTTTGATCTCCCAACTGATGAAATTAGCAAAAACGGTGACAGTACGCCATCTTGCATTTTGAAAGTAAAAGTTTGCTATCGTTTTTTGTCTCAGAAAGTATTTGAGGTGTCTTTCCCACATTTAATATGAAGGTTCACGTTGTTTCATTTAGACACTCATCTTAAAAACAACATTTTGAAAAGTGTGTTATCGCTAATTATGAAAAAGTGCTAGATAGATGTTGCAGGTGGTCATTTTTGCTTAGTTTTTTTTGCATTTCATGCATACTATTACTATTTCAAAGGAAGTACTTAACAAATAATTCCCATAATGCAATGATTGGTTTTATCACTTTCACATTAAGTACTGCACTAGTCAATATGTGTTACGACAAATACGACAAACCCACTTTGAAACAAAAGAACGCATGTTGCAGAGAGAGACGTCGTTTAACATCGTATTTAAAGCAGAAATTTCGAAAAGATTATTAGGTGAAATAACAACTGCTCTAGGGAAGTCCCTAGAATTAAATAACATATTTGTTGTCCTAAATCCTGCATTATGTTTATATATTAAATCCTGAAATCGAAAATATAACAAAACATAGTTTGTCCAAACTAAACGCGATGACCTATATGAGCTACTGGAATGAACAGAATTCGTTTTTTTTTTAATTTTGTTGATCTTTTTTACATAAAGACGGAATACCTTTGTTCTGTTATCATGAGATGGTCATATACAGTTGTGGGACCGCACAACGCACCAAAAATAGCGTGCGCACACCGTGCATACATCGTTCACACACCGTACGCACATCGTCCACACATGGTGCGCACAAATGTGCGATTTAGCAATCGTTCGCACCGTTGTGTGCTTCTCTCCGCACAATTGTGCGATTTGGTATCATTTGTAGATCAAAATTACGGAATGACAAAAATACGGAAGGCTTGTATGCGATAATGTACACTGTGTATATATCTGTAATTTCTCATCACAATAATCAAGATTATACAATTTCACAATGCGTGTTACACAGTATTACAGCGACCGTTAGGCTGTCAAGAATGGGTTTGGCTACAAGGTAACAGAACAGGTAAATAGCAATTTTATGAGTGTCCGGAATTTTACCTGACCAGTGCCTGACACACAGAGCTGATATGCGATACCGTTTGACCGTAATGGATAGTATTTGTTATTTGCATTCGTTTGCCTATAGTTCCCCTTCACCTGAATTTTCACATTTTCCGGCCTCACCCGACGAGTAACGTAAGTGCCCCAGGCGGGGAGAAAACTACGGTCCAGGTACATGTTCAAAGTGGTTATGTTTACCTGTATACGGGATTTTGTTGTAATTTAACATGTGTCAATTAAGTTTGTTTAAAAACACAGAAAACTAAATTTCTAAATATAAGAATGTATAGACAGAAAGATAAGTTTATAGATGTTGCTAGAATAGAAACATACGTAAACATCAAGTTTATATGTTTAAACACGAAACCGTATAAATTGTTAAGGCATTCCTCAATTTACACCAACCACAATTATTATCGCACAACGTCCGTCCATCGTGCGCACAGATGTGCCCAAGCAATGATCGTCCACCTTTTTATCGTTCGCCCTTCGTGCACACACCGTTTACACACCGTGCACACATCATGCGCACACCGCATATCGTGTAACGTTGTGCGATANTGCACACCGCACATCGTGTAACGTTGTGCGATCCCACAACTGTATATCTATATGGTTGTAGATGTTTTGAGTATAATTTGTGAAAACGACAACAAAAGGAAACAAACTGTGCCCCTCTTCTTACTGATGTTTTGTGTTTGTCACACGAAGGTGAATGAATTGTATTGTTAATTCTATCACGGTTCGTTAGGAAAAAACTTAGTCTTTCCTTCATTTTCCCATCCTGTTATATCGACGATGTGCTGTCTTTAATAACCAGACATTTACTGACTGCATAGATCGTAGAAACCTCCTTGATTTTGAATTCGAGGAAACTACAGACTCTTCTACGTCAGTCGCATTTTCTCGATCTTTACTTACAGCATGACAAACAAAGAAAATTTATGATCATGAACTTTACTTTCTTGAAAGTATCACTATTGCTCCCCTACTATTTTGTTAACATGTCGCTGTTGATTCGATCTTCAGGATTGTGTTATTAGTATCGGCCTTTTGTGATAGATGTTGATTGCTGACAGACAAACGTACAACACGGAGTTCCAAAAGTGCAGGCTGATGAATACTATAGACAAGGGTTATGGTCGCCAACAGGATATCGTAGAGAAAGATGCTATTTCTCTGGGTTAAATAAATGTTGATGTGTTGATAAGGTTCAGTAGTGTGCCTCATACTTTTGTTGTCAATATCCGGATTCTCGATGCGAGGAAGTGGCATTACTTTGTTTGACCTTTGTTTACATTGTCGGTGTCACTAACGATGCAGAACACAATGACCCCTCTTGAACTCCTGGTCTGATTATCCCTGTACTTTTCCGTATAAACAGAATCGGTTGTTTGTTTACATATTGCCGTAGTTTGATCGATGTTGAGTTTAAATTATGCTTTTCTTGACACTTCGGTATTGTCTTGTTCTTTTCAGCCCGTCCCTACTTTGATTGAATGCGACCAGTTACATTTGAAACATTTACACTTCGTTTCTGTTCCACATTACACTTTCGTGGTGCACTTTTGCGTTACGATTGTTTTTATTCAATATTCGAAAACTGATCACAGTATTATGACATGAAACCAAGCTTTACGTTTTGAAATTGTACTATTGAATTGCAGCACCCGTTCACATACTAGGTATTCCAAGTGATTAACATAGTCGTTAAAGTGTACCGTACCCTGAACGAAAAAGGAAATGAAAATATTATTATTCTGTACGATCTAAACACAAAAATGTCGAAAGCTGCATAAAAATCGGCCTGTCCAATGCCGATATATTGACGTGTTAAGTGTACGATGTACACCTGTCCTTCGACTACTAGGTAGCCCTAGTGTAACTCGCGGTGGATGGGACCTTATCGGCTGCGACGCCACACGTCCAACGACTGTAGCAGCCCCCTTGGAAGAAATAGGCGAGATCGAGAACAGCCATACGGCGTCAGATTGCGAATTAATATGAGGTTTGAGGAATCAATTCGCGCTAAAGATGAGATGATACTATGAATAGCATGTATTAAATATAGTAATTGCCAGAAATTTCAGCAGTGACTTTAATTGAAACCAAACTGACGACTCTGAAGAAGGTAACAAAGACTGGTAGCAATGCTTGTCCAGTTACTGAGCACTGGTGAGAAGTTTGTCGAATGAATGAGTGTAGGCAAATTAAACAGCAATACTCTCTAAATTATTGATCAAAAGTGTTTTTAAATTTTAACTGGAAAGTCAGTTTGCAATCATTTTCTTTATTTTACAGTGAGAACTTATTCCACCATGTTGAGCAGTGACCAGTTTCTGTGGCGGATTTTTATATTGCAAAGTTGTATACTGTGGTACCGCTACTTCAACGTTAGTGTCAGCTTTGTTTTTGAATGTCAAAACACGTATGCCATATTTATCTCGTAAATATAATTGATATATGAGGCGAAAAAATACCAATACTCCATATATTCATATACACAGGCTGTAATTTACCATCTTGGTTCAATAAGGAAAATCATCTCGATCCAGAGGCTCGCTAAATTGAAAAAATCTTAGACTCGTTTCCTAAATCTCATATGAAATGGAAACTCATTTAAGATCCTATATGTATATGTATACAGGCTTTAGCACTAAAATATTAAATGATATATGCGAAGAGTGTGTCAGAGGACAGAAGGTTAGGCAACTACCTATCTACCTAACCTATAACACCAAAGTTGACAAATCACGCACTTAAAATTATTTAATAAAACTAGTATCACACCAAGTATTCTTTTAAATGGACGTCAAGTGAAAGTACAAAATAAAAATACGTAATAAAACAATAGCAATTTAAAATGGTGTGTCACATGATAGGTGCTTGCCCTTGTCTGCCCTTTGACACAGGTAGAATAATATCCATGACAATTAACTAAACACTTTTAAGTCAAGGAAAACAAATCAGGGTTGATAAAACATGTCCAGCATGCTAAAACTATATTTAATCACTTTCTTCAGCCGGTTAGAGGACCAGTTAGTGGAGACAACAATATTGGTTGCAAAGAACAACAACAAAAATGAACTAAAATGGTACAGGAACATAAAACGAATTTGCAGGATCCACCGTCCCAGGTGCGCAACAGTCTACACAATCCATTGTAGTTTTTTATGTTTGACGTTCCTGTTCCACACCTGAGCATCCTCAAAGCCAAAAGACTTCCTACCAAAAGTGGTATTTACCTTAGGTATCTTTACTGTAAATATCTTCCTGGAATTATATAAAACGTGGTTTCTAACTATAAGAAACAATAAAACGAAATCAGGTGTAGTACTACATGCAGTGAAAAATTTGGTGAAACATGTAAGAATTGAAAGTTATTTCTTATTAAAAGATCTCTAACGGGGGCAATAAATTTCTTATTATTATTGATTTGATTTGATAATAATGAAAATGCCAGGATAGAAGGCAGAAGTTAAAGTCTAATACAATAAAAGATTTGAAAATAGTGTGTAATGGCCAACACCTTTGTTTTTCTTCAAAAACACCTTTCTTTTTCCTCATTACAAACTTCCCTGGGGAAGGTAGAAAGCTGAAATACAAATACAAACAAGTATTAAGAAATATTGAAATACGCATTAACATTCCAAACATTCCATGAATACATGCTATCAAGGTTCCGAAACATCCTACATAGAATTGCATAATAACTGTGTCCTGAATGTATTTTAAGAATGATGTAAGTTTACATACAAATGATACAATGCTTTATGAACATGGTATAATGCTTTGTCTCTAAGGCCATACTATCATTCCCTTTTTGCTTATTTGGCAAAACAACTTATTACATACATCACATTGGTAAGTTTCGAACTTTATCATAACGTGCACAACGAAATGTGTCTACACACAAAACCTGACATTATGATAGTACATCCGATTATAGGTCATAGCCAAATGGATGAAATCGTATCTACATACAATATAAATTCACAATATCATGGAGAGGGGAATAAACTTACTCTGTGGGGGGCTTAATTTTCCTATTAGGTTCTTAAACCTTGTCTAAGTTTGCCGTACAGGCGCCATATTCCTTGTTCTACTCAAAGAGCATGCTGGGAAATCCGAAAGTGAAAGTAAACCTATCTACTTGAAACGTGTGACAAGGGAGGTAAATCCTATACTTATCGTAAAACTTCTAGATAATTGATGCGTTTACTTAACACACTGAAACTGAAACACGACATAGTGACTTTGCCCACTTTTGTAAGTTTATCTCTAATTCTTTTAAGCACATACAATTTTTAGAGGCCTTTCTTCTTAGATTTCATATGTGAATGAGAAACTTTAAGTCACTATAAATGTCTGCCCTAAACAGCTTCACGATGTTCTCTTCTGAAATTTGTTGTTCTCCAATAGTTTGTGAACTTATTTGCTCCTAGGGTTTTCTCTCTATACTGATAGACTGAAATTTCTCGGGGTCAGCCTGCATACTGTCGTTTAGACATCATTTAACTAAAACTTTATTCTTCATGTCCTACTAGTTAATAGTAAGAATGGCTAGCATTGCTAGCCTAAATCGTTAATATATAAACTTTATTTCTTTTACAACAATTATGAAACCAGTTATGTTAACTTATATAAATCACTCTTGATGGCCCGGATTTTAGCGCGCGAGGGGTCTTTGTGTGGGAGGAAACCGGAGTAGCCGATGGTCCCATACCTTTTCACGTCCGATCGGGGAATCGAACCCCGGCCGCCTTGGTGAAAGGCAAGTGCGCTATCCACCCCACCACCCTACCACCCACATCGTTTGCTGGCTTCCATGAAAAATGACAGATACCTGTAGAATTAAACGCTTTGTTTCCCCCAGAGAATAGTTCCCCCGTGATTGGTAACAGTTGATTATTCTGAGCATTTGACTCGGCTGATATCTCAGGAGGATTTTCTTGAGGCCTGCGTATCGTTAAACTTACCGGCCACGATGCAATGGTAAAAATTGTAATAAAATCAACTATCATAAACCCGCTTTGAGAGCATCAACTAGATAAATATATATATGAGTGACTTCCCTAAACCGGGTCGATTTCAAAGCAATTTGGCTTAACAACCATTGATCTCATGAAATTCAAAAGTACCGGCTTATTTTAGGATTCTTTGAGGAAATTGTGCGGTTTGGGTAACGTACATGTAATTTCTATGAACACCTTTGTTGTAAAATATTTTTGTAACATCAATCTGTAAAGTGACCTATACGGCCTTCCTTCATTCCTTCCCTTGGGGTCAGTTATTGGCTAAATCGGAAGGCTCCCATCATTCTATTTGCTTTGTGGACCGCATCATAAATATGTTCGTTGAAATTGTGGTTGATGTCAGTTATAATTCCAAGATCCTTCTATTTTGTTCTCTTGAGTGACACTCGAGACTTCCGTTTTAGGTGTCTGTATATACATGGTTGTATTGGTTTTCTTTTCTAAATGCAAAACTTTGCATTTGTCCGAATGGAATTTTATCATCGATCTGACCATTTTTGGAGTTGATCTAGATCATCCTGTAGATTTATATTATCGTTATAATTGTAAAGTTTAGTATCATCAACGAACAAGTACGTTGTTGATATACATTACATAGAGAGGCGGCCCTCAAACGCTTCTCTGGGGGTACCACTTGTTACCTCCATCCATTTGGACAGTTCTCTGTTCACCAATACTCGCCGTTTCCGGTTAGTTATGAAACTTTGCACCTGTTTGATGATTTCTGGTGATAATCCATATGATTTTAATTTGCTGATGAGCCGTAGATGTGGGACTGTGTCAAACGCTTTTATGAAGTCTAAGCATGCTGTTTGGATTGATCTTCCTTGGTCGATAACTTCTGTCCACTCATCAATAGCCTTCATCAACTGTAAAATAGTCGACCTTCCTTTAACGAATCCGTATTGATGTTTACTTAAAAAAAAAAAATCTATATGAGCCTTGTCCTTACAATCTTTTCCATAATTTTACATATTACGCTTGTCAAACTTACTGGCTTATAACTTCCTGGCGTTTTCTTGTCCCTTTGGTCTGCTGTTTCCAGTGAACAGTTCACTATTTCGTTGGTCTTTAATATATCCGCTGTTTCAATGCTTTTGGGTGAATATTATCTGCTCCTGTAGATTTTGTGGGGTTCATTTTTTAATGTTAAATACGTATTGCTCTGATATATTTTAGTTTCAAAGTATGGACTCTATGGTAAGATCTTTCTGTACTGGGACACAACCTTGTGGTTTGAGAAATAAGCTGCTGATGTAGTAGCCTTATGTTGATTAGTTTGAGCGACGACTGTAGTTTCGTTTACACACTTTATGTGCAGTTCTGGGATTCCTGATTTAAATTTTGTTTGTGTGCATGAATATCTCCAGAACCTCTTGGTGTTAGTCTTACCCTTTTCGATTTATCTTTTTCAATACTTCTTTTGCATTTCCTTTCCAAAGGTTTTTCTTTGTTTCTGGTTTTCACATATTCGTTGTATTTCCCTATTTCCCTTGTTTCAAGATATATCTGTCACCTCCTATGTTTCCGTTGTATAGCCTATTCAGTTTGGTTATCTAAAGGATTTTGTCTTTTCTCTGTTTTGCGGATGATTTTGGTATTTGCCTATCAATTGCGGATTTAATTATCTAATGAAACATTTCGTATTTTGGTTTTGCATAATGTTTCCTTCCAGTCTGTCGATAGTTCTTTTCTTATTTGTTCGTAATCGCCTTTATAGTAATTAGACATAGTTGTTTTGCTAAATCTGTGTTTTTGAACAGTTCAATTAAAAAATATAAAGTGCCGTTATCACTCTTTCCTAGTCCGCTTTTTATTTCAATATTACCGATCATACCTCGTTCATTTGTTTATATCAGATCTAAAATACTTGGCTCGTCATTTGCTCTTATTCTTATTCTTGTGATTCTCTATGTGTTGCAATAGAAATGCATCTTTGGCCGATTCCAAGAATTTCTGTTCCAGATGTTTAGCTCATCTAGACGTCAGCAGTCCTTATAGTCACTGACCTCAAATCATCAGTCGCTATAACCACTGGCCTCTAATCAAACCTCAGTCGCTATAACCTCTGACCTCCAATCATGAGTCGCTATAATCCTTGACCCCCAATCCTCACTCGCTATAACTTCTGACCTCCAACTATCAGTCGTTATAACCCCTGACCTCCAATCATCAGTCGTTATAACCGCTGACCTCTAATAAGCCGTCGCTGTTGCCCTTGACTTCAAATCTTAAGTCTCTATAACGCTTGACCTCTTATCATTAGTCTCTATTACATGTACTCCTGACATCTAACCATCAGGCGCGACGACCGCTGACCTCCAATCACCAGTCACTATGACCACTGAACTACTTCCTATAATCAGTCACTATAACCGCTGACCTCCAATTACCAGTCACTATGTACGCTGAACTACTTACTATCATCAGTCGCTATAACCGCTGACCTCCAAGCACCAGTCACTATGACCCCTGAACTACTTCCTATCACCAGTCGCTCTAACCGCTGACCTCCAAGCACCTGTCACTATGACCCCTGAACTACTCTCTGTCATCAGTCGCTATAACCGCTGACCTACAAGCACCAGTCAATATGACCCCTGAAATACTTCCTATCATCAGTCGCTATAACCGCTGACCTCAAAGCACCAGTCACTATGACCCCTGAACTACTTCCTATCATAAGTCGCCATAACCCCTGATTTCCTATCAAACTAAGAAGCTAGGCTACCTCTTATACCTTAGCCATGTCTTGCTACAATTATAACTTAAAACGAGATTGATAAAATATTTTACTTATTACTAAGTTATCGCAGTCGAGGGCTAAGACTCTGTAACGTAATCAAAACCGAGACGCAAACCGAGGTTGGGATGTTACATAATCTTAGTCTGAGACTGCGATAACCCAATCTTGCTCAGTTACAGGTTTATTTTACGCGCACCTTTTTAGTTAGAAAAAATCCATTTAATTTTGCAAAAGACAATAAATATCCGTCCAAAATGACCTATACACTACTTAAGTGACATTTGAATGCTTCCGCGAAAATGTAGTCCGTACACACAAGGAAGACAACGTATTTCATAGTGTTGAATATGTTTTATCTTTAACATCAAAATTTATCTATAACATCAAAGTTAGATAATAATTACAGTCAATGACATTATAAAGATACCGATCCAATAGATAAGCAAATCATGTGTTTATTAATTCAATCATTGACGTATTTGGTATCTTGTCAATCCACTCTCACCAAGATGTATTATTAAAAAGGTATATTTTAAATGACAAAAGATCTACATTTGTAAATTCACAACGAACACCTGTTTATTTTTAAACATTTACTTTAAATACCTGCACAATATAGATTGCAATGAATGTATGAGTAATTTCTGTAACGCTGTCACTAGCATGCTTAAAGCGTTGGCAAAAACGTACTATCAAATTCACGTTTATCATAAAACTGACCCATTTCACTACGTCATAAATATGGTATTACACCGTTTGTACTAAAACCTAAAGGTGATGCGATTGGTCAAAACCGTGGGAACATATCCCTACGCCACTACAGGTATTATTTTTATTAACTGTACCATATCACACATTTTTAAATGAAGTTGAAATGTCTATTTCGCTATTTTTTATTTCGTTGCATTTAAAACTTCTTTTTTCGTTAATAACAGAAAAAAATATATGGAACTTCTTTGCACTGCGCGGAACAACACTACTATGATCGGAATAATTTGGTATTAACTATAAAAAGTCAGCTGAGAACAAAATAATTGTGTTTGTGTTTTTTTTTCTTTCTTTAAATTATGAATGTTATGTGATAAATTTAATCTTACATTTGTGTCCATGCCGTATTTAGATGATTAAACTCGTTCAATAATTTGCCACGACACTCGCTTACAGGCTCGGGCCATATCCAAATATTGATCTCGTTTAATAAATTCAATTCGACATGGACACTCATGTAAAACCATCTTTTTACGGAAAACATTGTGTCATTCGTCCAGTGAAGATAACATCTATGTTAACTCATATTAGCACTTCCTG